GAATGAATGAATGAATGAATGAATGAATGAATGAATGAATGAATGAATGAATCTCCAGGAACTTTCCCCCAGCTAGAACAACTGACCACATGCACTACACACATCCTACAGATGTCTTCTAACAGGAAATTATAGACTTAGAAAACAAAATTTGGGAGGGCTGAAGTCTGGACTTGGCCTTTGAGCACTGTGACAGAGGATACATTGAGAAAATATCCACACGTCTACATAGTTTTCTTGGCAACCTCATGGAAGTGGTTTCCCATTGCCTGCTTTCAGCAGGCTTTTTTTGACTTCCCAGTCTAGCTGATAGCTCTGGAATTCCTTGGTGTCTCCCATCCAAAAACTAACCAGGCCTAACCTTGCTTAAATTCTGAACGCAGACAAGGTAAGCCAGATACTGCCCCTTGCTGAGGCTCTATTGGCTTTCATTTAACTTATGGTAAAATGAAATGAAATATGTCCAGCATTGTTACTTGGCTTTTATCCGACAACTTTCCCTTCTGTAAGAATTTCAATTCAGTGAAACTTTGGGTGGATTCTGGGGGCTGCAGTTAAGGTTTTCCATTGTTGTGTGAGACCCGGACACTTTGGGCTATAGAGATCAGTTGAAGGAAAATGCACCTTTTTTTTAAACCTCTGCTTGAAGCTACAAAATATTTTACTAGGCTGGTGGCCCCTAGGTATGTTGAGACTGTGATTCCCAGAATCCTCCAGCCAGGATGAGCTCCACATTCTGCATGGAAAGTTATGGAAATAACCTCTATGTCCCCATCCCTCAGGGCAAAATAAATATCAGGTGAAAAAAGGGCACTGATGTGTGTATGTGTGTGCATCACCCAAATAGAATTAATTAAGAATCATACAAGGCCAGAATTGTTTCTATTGCTTCTACAGTTACTGTGATTACTACAAAGTGAGACTTATTCCACAAAAAAGAAAAAAATAAAACCATTCTTTTTCATTTTTGCACAAAGGTAGAACTCATCACTTATTTCATAAAAGTCCCTTTCTCCTGATCACTCTGCCTACAGCATCTTGTACTTCCTTGTTCCTTATGCTATAGATCAGTGGGTTTAACATGGGAATCACCACTGTATACAACATGGAAAACATCTTGCCTTTGTCTGCTAAAAAGCTATTGCTGGGCCGTACGTATGTAAGGAAGAGGGTGCCATAGAAGATGGAAACAGCTGTGAGGTGGGTGGAACAGGTGGAAAAAGCCTTCCGCTGGCCCTCTGCAGATCGGATCCTCAGGATGGCAGAAAGAATATAAATGTAAGAAATAATAACAAAAGTGCTGCCGATGGTGCCAAATGTGCAGGACGTGATAAATAACACTATCTTGTTGATTTGTGCCTCTGAGCAGGAGAGGGATATCACAACAGGGATATCACAGAAAAAGTGATTGATCTTGGACTTGCAGAAAGTTAATTGGAAAGTCATAACTGTATGTGTTGTGGCATTTAATATTCCAGCAAAGCAAGGTCCAACTAAGAGTTGTATACAGGCTTTCCTAGACATAATGACTCTATACAGTAGTGGGTTAGAAATGGCAACATACCGATCATACGCCATTGAAGCCAAGAGATAATATTCAAAACCCAAGAAGAAGCCAAAAAACCACATTTGTGCTGCACATCCCCTTAAGGAGATAGTTTTGCTTT